TAGCCTGCGGGGAGCCATGGGCTGGGCTCTGCCGCGGACAGGTTTACTCGGCCCCCGTCTGGAAAGGGGGACAGGACATTGGGGGTGGGGGCGGGGATGTTCAGGGAGGGTGGTCTGGAGTCCGACCGGACCTGGCTCCAGATCCTGCCCCACCACTTCCCAGCCCTGTGACTTTGGCCAAGTGGCTCCTCGTCTCGGGTTCACCATGGGGGCAATAATAATATCTACCTCAGGGCTGTTGCAGAACAGGGCTTGACATCTATCTAGTAAGAGCTGGATAAATTTTTGTCAAGTTCACGCCTGCTTTTGGAGTTTCCCACACACGCCCCGCCACCACCACCACCCCACAGCTACCAACTGGGCATTCCCTAGCATCTCCAGACTCTGACCTTAGTTTATACCCCCATATCCTTGCCCATGTTCTCTTTGACTGTGTTCCCAAGGCCCTGGGCCAGACCTCCAGCCTCTCCTCATCCATCTTCCACCCTAGCCCCAGAGGGATCTTACTAAAATGCAACCATGACCACCTCCCTCCCCTGCTCTAAATCCTTCTATGGCTCCCCATTGCCTTTGATAAATAAAATTAAACTGCGGTGACCTTACTAACCATCTATGACTCCCCTTTATGGCAGGTATTGTTATCAACTTTGTAAGATAGTTCATCAGATGAAGAGATTACCAAGTCAGACAGCTCTTGAATGGATTCCAAAGGCTATTTTTCGCTATGTGTATAAAGTCCAGGCAGCCCTGTAATGATTAAGGAAGTTGAATTTATAATTTTAAGACTCCGCAAAAAGAAATCTCCAAGCCCAGATGGAGAATTCTACCAAAGTTTCAAAGAAGAAATTAACACCACTTTTAAATAATCTCTTCCAGAACGTTGAAGAGGAGGGAACACTTCCCCATTCATTTTATGAAGGTAGCATTACCCTGATAGAAACACCAGTTAAGGGTAATACAAAAAAAAAAAAAAAAGGAAAGGAAAGGAAAGAAAACTATAGACCATATTCTTCATGAATAGATGCAAAAAATCCTTAACAAAATATTAGGAAATAGGGGTGCCTGGGTGGCTTAGTCGGTTAAGCGTCTGCCTTGGGCTCAGGTCATGATCTCTGGGTCCTGGGATCCAGCCCTGAGTCTGGCTCCATGCTCAGCGGGGAGTCTGCTTCTCCCTCTCCCTCTGCCCCTCCCCACCCCTTGTGCTCTCTCTGTGTCTTAAATGAGTAAATTCTTTTAAAAATATATTAGGAAATAGAATTCGGCAATATATAAGAAGAATTACATACTATGATCAAGTGGCGTTTACTCCAGGGATGCAAAGCTGGTTCAGTATTCAAGAATCAATGTTATCCACCATATTTAACAGGCTGTGGTAGGTAGAGTAATGGTTCCCTAAAGATGTTCACATCTTAATCCCCAGGACCTATAAATAGGTTACGTGGCAAAGGGAATTTAAACTGCAAATGGAGGGCGCCTGGGTGGCTCAGTTGGTTGAGCGACTGCCTTCGGCTCAGGTCATGATCCTGGAGTCCCTGGATCGAGTCCCGCATCGGGCTC